AATATTTATTCAACGTGACGATGCGCACGAATTCTAGCGCATACTAATAGAAATGCAATCGAAAAAACCCACAAGCGACCTCATTTGAAATGGAACGGAACTGGGCAAACAAAAAGCTAACATTTTTCTGTCGCAATTTCAAAACTGTATTAATTTAATTTATGCTCTGTTCGGTGATTCATTTCCAAATGTAGAAACATTTGTGCATATAATTTTTGGTAAAACCAAAAAAAATTGCATTTGACGTCAGTGAATACGAAAAAAAAAAATATTTTAACTTTTTTGGTTGTTTACTATGGTGATCTCTCGTTTCTCCCTTACCTTATGTTTCGCTTGTTCTGCTCGCATTATTTGCAGCTGTAGTTGTTGGTCACAGAGCTGACGTCAAAGACTCGCGCCAGCCAAGTGATCAACGATAAGCACGCAAACAAGAATCGGTAAAACTGCAAAAAAAAAACAGTGGAGACATAATTTTAAAGCCAGCAGCGCAATTATTTTTCATAAAAAAATCAAAACAAAAAACATGCTATTTTAGTTGGCACTTATTTGCTGGAGAGCAAATGGTTTTTTTTAAATCGCAGTAGCAATGTTGGTTCATTAACATACAACAACAAATAGGTGCCGCTGTTCATATCTCTATGTTGTGTTTTTTCTTTCTTTCGATATTTTTAATGTTGTTTTATTTTCTTAATTAATTAATTAATTATTTGTTTTGTTTTTGTTAATCTACATCGGCTTTCGGCTTAGCGGCTAAACACAAACATTCCCCCCATGTAGCTGTGGTGAATAAAATACATACATATTTTTTGTGGCGACAGCGAGACGCCTGCAAGAGCTGAAGGTCGTTTGGCAAGTCTTGTGTTTTTGATAGTTTTTTTTTTAATGAATTCCGTAAAATATTTCATTGCGTATTTTTATAGCGCGCAGAGGTTGCCCATAAATTTCTAGTTTTTTTTTCTTGGACTTAATCCTCAATTTTGGTTAAAAAAACGTGGAATTAAAATTTTAATCAATTTTATATCAGGTAATTAAATTTTTTATTTTGGTTTTTAAATCTAAAAAAATTAGCTTAAACTTAGATTTACCCTTTTTAATATTTTCTGCTAATTGTTTAAATAAATATAATTTTAATTCTGTAGACTTAAATTTTAAAATTTTTTTTAGTTCTTTATCTTGATCAAAATCAATTTTTCGTTTCTACTTTGAAATTTTTACATCCACATAACGTTTTTTATTTTTTTTTATTATTTAATTAAAAAAAAAAAAAAAAAGAACACCCAAACCGGCAAACGTTTGTAGTGCTAAATAACCAAACGTTGTAAAATCTTCAAACTTTTTTGTGGTGTTCTTTTTTAATTTTTTGTTATTACATAATTTAAAAAACCATTTGTTCTATTGTAATTTTAAAATTGTAATACTCCTATCATTTTTTTGTTAAATTTTTTTCAATTTAACTTAAAAACAATTTAGTATTTTTTAATTTTAGCGTTTAATATTCTTTAATATTAGGAGAAATATTCTAAATCTGTTCAATAAAAAAATGTTGTAAATTGTTTTATCTCTGATTTAAACGACTTTTTGGAATTGTAAAAAAATTAATTCTTTTGTTGAAGGGAGTTTTAAAAGTTAACTTATTTTTTTAATTACTTTTTAAGAAACACTTTTTAGAAGACTTTTTAAATTTAGATTTTTTTTTTTTTTCAGTTTAACAATTAAATTTTGAAAACATTTTTTCAAAATTTATTTCTTTATTTTCTTTAGAGTGCTCTTTTAACTTTTTAAATTAAATCAGATTTTAATTATTTTTACTTAAGTATTCTTTTCCATAGAAATTTTTAAACTTGTTAAATTTTTTTCAATGTTTATCGAAAAAGTTGAAAACGTTTACTTATCATTTATCTGCATATTTTGAACAACTTTCCTATTTTTTTCAAAAATTACAACTTTTTTCCAGAAGTAAAACTATTATATTATATTTTATTATTATATATTTTTTTGTTAATTGCAAAAAAATGCTCTAGTTGCTAATTCATCATATAAAAACATTTTTTATAGACTTTTGTTTAATTCTTCAATATTTTGTATTTTTTTTTTTAACGAATTTTTTAAATTTTTAATTTTTGTTTTGTTTTGAATTCTTTCTTAAATAAGTACACTTTAAATTCCAATTTCTTCTTTCCTATTTAAAAAATGCAATTTAAACACTTTTTAATCTTTTTTAATTAAAAAATTAAACTTTTTTTATTACTTTTTCAACGTGCCTTCATTTTCAAGCCATGAAATTCATCGCATACTTTTTATGCTAATTCCGTTTTTTATGCTAAGTGCTCCAAAGAATTTCTTCCTTTATTTGCGTTCTGCCATTTTGGCAAACATACGTTTCGAGCTTTGTACGCATGCGCAAATTATAAATTTTTTTAAAAATAGCACTGAACTCACACGCCGCTACGGCGTATGTTAACACTTGGCAACGAGTCAGTCACGTTTTTAGTATTCTTGGATTTTATTTTTTGTAAAATTCAATTAACAGTGCTTTGTTTTTAGTAGTATTTTCGATTTAATGAGCGAAGTAGATTTTTTTTTTATTTGTCATATTTGCTTGCTGAGTTTTGTTAGCAATTAGGTAGGCAATACGGTTGCTTTTAATGACTAATCAAAACATTTAGCTGTCTGCTTTTAAGTTTTTTCTTACTTTTCTTGGACATTAAATTTATTTTTCGTTAGAGGATTTTATTTTTTTTATAGCACACTCTTTTGTCTTTTTAATAAATAAAAAAATTTTGTTCTTGCTTCAAGTATGAGTTTTTGTGGTTTACAATATTTTTCTTATTATATGCTTAATTTTTCCGCATATAGACAGTTTTTTTAATTATACATTTTTTAAGTAGCTTTTTAATTTTGTCCATTTCATTCAGTTTTTAATTGCTCTTTGTGATTCGTTATATTTTTTCCAATTCTGATTTTTCCACAAATGTTGCCAGTCGCAGAAACATTTCCATAAAAGGTATATCAACAAACATAACATCACTTTGGCAATAAATTTCGCACAATGCCCATAACAGTGAAGACATATTTTATACTAGACGATAGGATAATAAAATAAATTTATTCTATGGCATTAACTGACAATCTTAAGCCATTCCAGCCCCTTAAAAGCAAATGCTGGTGTGTTTTTATGGAAAACAAGTTCAAGTATCTTAAATCTTTTGTTAAAGCATGCAACAAGTTTAATGCTTCAAGATTCTCAAATAAAGAGAATTGTACGTCAAAAATGTTGCTGAGACCATTCTTAAAAGAGGAATAAAAATCTTATAATGGTAAAATTAATGAAGAATCTTAAATAGCAATTTTTTTAATGTTTTTTTCTTAAATTTTTTGTTATTTCATTTTTTTGTTCTGAATTTGAGGCGATAAAAATTGAAAACAAGTTTTGTTAGCCAGAAGTAATTTTCTGCCTTCACCTTCAAAATAGTGGCAACGTTTAAGCATACTAAAGTTCGTGCCTTAAGTCTTTTATTTAAGCAAAACAAAATCGTAAAATTTTAATAGAGCGATTATAATTAAGCTTAATAGTAGTTTTAATAGCAGTTTAACGCAATTTAAGTCATCAAATCGTAAAGAATTATTTAAGAGAAGCTCATGTTACAGAAACTAAAAAATCTTAAAGGAAAAGGCTATGAAAATTATAATCAAATTACTAAATATTAGCATAAACTCGATCAAATTCAGGAGTTTTCAACAGACACTAAACCTTTTGCAGTTTAGAAAACATCTGTACAGCTGTAGCATTTTTATTTCACAACAAAATTTTGTTGCCTAAAACAGCACACGTGTGCTGATGTTTAGCCATTAAAAAATTAACAATTAAATTTTCACACCAGCAAGTTCGCACCTAAAGTCTTTTGCCCGAACTATTCTAGGCAGAGTTGAAAAAGTTACAATATGTAGATACACAAACAATTTTTTTGTAACACCAAAGGAAGTACTTCCTGCTCAGATACTCAATAAACACATATATTTACATACATACATACTTGTATGTACCCTGCAAAAAATGGGACTAATCCGGGATGACTCCGGGAGCAATCGCAAAGGAGCATGCGACTAATACCACTTTTGATCTCTTTATATGGAATGAACTGATCGCTTTTGTTCGAGCATGTCCTATGAAGAGACTAATTGTTCACCTTTATACCCGAAAGGGTATAAAAAGCGACTAGTCACTTTTAAAAAATAAAAATAATAATTTGCGCCAGCTGAGATTCGAACCGGGTTGCTCAGTTTTATTAGGCGAATACTCTCTCTGTGTGCCAACGCCGCACATGAAATTTCATTGACTAAGTGCGTACATATCATTAAATCGTTAATAGTACCCGTTAGAGATGAGTTGGGGACTAATTGATCTCCAATTATACCCATAAGGGATGAGTCGAGACTAATTGATCTCCATTAGTACCCGTATGAGACTAGTTGCGACTAATTAATGCCTAATTGTACCCGATTGAGGGTAATCTCGGAATACTCTCTTTAGAGATTAGTCGCACAATTTTTTGCGGGGTATTGTCAGAAGCACACATGCACAAATAGTACTGGATATGCGCTGCGCCCAATGTCATATAGCTCAACAGCAGCAGAGACGACATGCAAAATTCGCACGCAAATACATTACACTTTTTTGATAAGTCTTTTCCGCTTTTTCCTTATTATAATTACTTCCTCGACGAGTGAGTGCCCGCTTGGCCGGCAACAAAAACAATAGCAGCAACAACAAAGACTGTTGAGAAACAGCAAAAGCCATTGAAGAACACAATAATAATAAATTACAAAGCAATCAATACTTACGCATATATACACTTACACACACACACACATATGTATATATTTACATATGTACACACACAATTTATGCATATTTATTGCATGAGTAATAAAACAATTTATTAACTTCCGCTTTCTTGCTCTCTCTCTCTCTTCTTTTCATGTTTCTTCCCACCCTTTAGCATATCGTGGCAAGTGCTTCGATAAGATCACCCGTCGTGCTATGCTACCCAACAAGGAGTACAAACCGAAGGGCATTTGTGCGGTTATGACATGCGACATCCTCGCACAAACAATCAACATTGAAACCTGCCCGTACGTGGAGATGCCCGGCTGTGAGGAGCTGCCTAGCGATCCCAAATGGTCGTTCCCCAAGTGTTGTCCGCAATTCAAGTGCACAGACTTCAAGACCGGCAAGGAGTTCATTGTGTCGGTGTAAAGGTCAGCAATGTCACAGCAGCTGCAACAACAAAATTAAAAACAAAAAACAAAAAAATACTCAAGCGCCGCACAACGCATGCAAAGGAGATTGTATGGCAGGCAGGCAAGGAGGGAGTGTATGAGGCGTGTGGCGCAAAAAACGTGATTTTATGCTTTTACTTACCATTTACTACCTTAAACTATAATTAAAACTGAAAAGTACTATTTTTAAATGTGTGAAACGTGAAGCGTGTGTAGAGTGCATGATTGTCGTCATGAAAATTTATTTTATTTTTATTGTTTTTCTTTTTTAATTATTTTCACATTTTTGTCTTTAAAAGCTATTCTTTGTCCATTATAAACTTCATTAGCATGTAAGATTATTTATTGACAAAACAAAAACAAAAAAAAAATCGAGACAAATCAAATTGTAAATACACGCTTTTCGCCTAATTAATTTATTGTAAAACTATTACGTTTGTGAACATTTTTTTTCTTTTTTGAAATTAAAATTAATTAATTACTTTTCTCCATTTCACTTATAATTTATTTCTACTGTATGCATGTATGTATGTAGTGCGTTTAGGAGTTACGTGAAGTTAATTCGTAAATTTGTCGGCTTGCGTTATTTGCTTGCTTTTTTAGTGATAGTGCTAAATGATAATTAGCATAGTATTTATTTCTTAAGTTTTGTAAAAAAATTAAATTAAAAACGTGAAAATAATTTAAAAATAAATTATTGAAAATCAAAACGTTTCTTTTATTAAATATTTCGGAATAAATTTTTACTGCTATATAAGCATTTTTAATGAAGCCTCAAGCCCGTTTTTGTCTTTGGAAAATGGCGAAAACAACAAAGCTCGTTGCCGCTAATTCTCTGCTATTTAGGCAGTCATGCTTACCTTCCGAGACATGATTTTATTCTTCAACGACACTACCATATGTATATATGTTGTTCTGTGGTGAAAATGATGAACCCTGCAAGGATGCATTCAAGTTTTTCAAGAACACCCATAAAAAAAGGCGACGCGAATCTTGGCAAAACTTCTGCAACAACATAGAAGAAAACTCTGAGGCCAACAGGTTGCAAAAAGTTCTGTCGAAGCCTTCTTCAATTATGAACTCTACCCAGAAGCTTAACGATGACTGGACATCGTCACTGAATGAAATGCTGAAGATCCTTATCAGCACTCACTTCCCGATGCGAAGGTATTTCTTCTGCTTAAAGGGGGCAGGACCGCTCATATAAAACCGAAGTATCTCAGGCCGCTAGACCCCTTTTGGTTTTTTCTAAAGACTTCAGAGAGTCTCATTGACGAATGTCTTCGGCGGAAGCAGCATTCATATTCCAAGGGAAAATCCATGGAGACCGCGCTTCGCGAAACCGTATCGACGATTTAAAAATAATTGGCCAAGCGGGGCTACACGGAGTACGTTGTTAATTCCCACTTTAGGGTGGGGGTGCAGCGGATACTGGAAAAGAGAACTTTTGTATCAGAGCTAGGGGATGGCTCCATAACTAAACATGTGACCGGATGCACTTTCTAAGGGGACGTTCTATTACCTCTACTCTGGAGTCTAACTGTTACCGCCCTACTTCTAAACCTAAAGGGCACTGGTTATCAAGTCACAACGTATGCTCATGACGAAGCAATCGTAGCCACGTGTAAACATCCGCAGGTCCTGTAGGAGTTATTACAAAATGCACTCAGTCTTGTAAATATCTGGTGTAAAAAATGCGGACTTAGCGTCAATCCGACCAAGACCGAGAAGTATAAAATTGCTCTATTCAAACCTCCTACCTTAAACGGAGTAGAACTTACTTTCTCAATCGAGATCAAATACCTTGGAATTATTCTAGAAAAGAAACTTGACTGGGCCGCTCCAGGAAGCAAATGCTGCATTATACGCTTGTAAGATGGCTATAGGAAAAAGAGGGGGAATAAAACCACATAAGTATGTATATTCAGTAGACTGAATGCACATAGCTGCAATGAGACGCATCCGTTTCTACCGGGTCACCGTATGGTGAATTGCCTTAAATTAGACTTTGTCCAGAGCCAAGGTGAAACGTGTACATAGGACAGTGTCCATGTCTGTCGTGGGAGCACTACCCACTACTCACACCAAATCTGGGGAAGTCATATTAAATCTTACACCGGTGGATCTGTGCGGCAAATTTCCAGTATGATGTAGTGCTCTCAGGTTAAATATAATCCAGCCGTGAAGGGACCTCACATTCGGACACACAAAGGTCGTCAAAACTTTACCGGATAATCTACAACAACTAGATTGTACTACTCCATTGTTCTCCATAAGAACCCCAGAGAAGAACGAATGAGAAAGTGCCGCAGACCTATACCCAGGGTATCTAGCTTTACCACTTATTTATCCTTTGTATGCCTGTACAATTATAGCGCTTTTATTTATAAATGCGTCAAGTCTGTTGCTTGTACGGCTTACATAGTCAATTTCGAGGCTCGATTGACCAACGTGGTTTTATATTTCCTATAACTACTTATCGGCTTTTGTTGATTTCTCATTTTTTGGTGTATTTTGCCTATCTTCTATTTCAAAGTGGACTGTATTATATTTTTATTTATTGTATTACAAATAAAATGAATTGAAAATTACACTTTTGTAATTCAATACTCATCTAATCAAAGATAGTAATCATACGAATAAAATAGGAATAAAAGCACCATCATTGGCATGATTGGCAAAGTAAGCCATTTGCGGTTAAGTCATAGCTTAATCAAGTTATATGTACATAGGTACATATGTATGTATGTATGTAGACAAATCAGGCAAATTTTTGATTGAGTCATTTTTATTTATAGTAATAGTCTAATTTTTCTGAGATTTTTGTTTTACATTATTCCTTTAAAACAAATTCAATACCAAGCGCTCTACTTTCTTAACTTTCAGCTGGTGAAAAATACCTTTAAAATGCGTAACGCCTTATTTTGTTCACCAATTGGCGACGATTTTGTTATCTGCTTTAAATAATTCATTAGCTTCTGTTGAAAGCGGCAGTAAAGAAATTACGCAGTTAACTGAAATTAGTTCATAAATACATACTACATACATACATACATATGCGATCATGCCAAAATCAGTAAGTTTGAGTAACAAAACGCTACGCATAAAAACTAACTTAATTTGGGTTCACAGTGCATTTAAAAATTTTTTTACAAAAAAACATAATGCCTTGGATAAACTTTTGTTTCTATGTATATGTAATTATGTACATGCAATAACGACACAATTCAAAATTCAAAAAATAAAAACCCTTACCGCTGTCAAGTGGCGCATGACTCTAATTCAAGTCTAACCTTTAGTACTTACTTTAGCAAGCCTTACTGGTTACTTTAGTAAAGGTTTCAAATGGACTAGACAAGGATTAGAGAGAGAAGAACCACTTAACAGTAGCAACACCTATTATATATTGAATTGTGTTTTCGAATTGAATTTTGCGCGTATTTTAAATTTTTTTTTTGTTTTTGTCGCACGGTGTTTTAAGTAGTTTATATGCAAATTGCTTCATCAAAATAAAATTTTTTGGGTAAAATAACATGCTGCGAAAATAGACAAAAGTCATTTGACGCAGAAATTGAGAAATGGCTGAAGACTAAAAAATGATCAACATATTTAACTCCAATAAAAGCAACGAAGAAAAAAAAACAAAAATTGAGCAACTATTGCAAAACATTGTTGTTTTGGTGCGTATTTTTCGTTTGCATTTTTTTCGCATTTCGCCTATTTTAAAATTCAAAACAAAAAACAAATACTTATAAGCACATGGGCATCAATAAACGCATATATAAATATGTCAACAACGATTAAACTAAATCTGTATGTGTCAGCTATAGATATGTGTAAATGAGAATACCATTTTTAATATTTTTGTTTTAAGCACTAAATTAAATTATTTAAAATAAATGCGCATTTAAAAGTAAAAAAAAATATCTGTTATAACATCGTACAACAATCTCAAACCTGTTTGTAAAATACGAATAATAGGCTCCCTAAAGTTTTAAATATTTCATGTGAAATGCAAATCCAATAAAAATTAAATGGAGTTATCATTTATTTACCTGGCATCAAAAAAATAAGTCACCCTCCTAGCCTTAAAATTTTGGGTTGATGCTTCATGAATAATGATCATAGTCATAAGAAAATACTTTTGTTGCTAAAGCTTTGGTCTCGCCTTGTGGATAAACTCTTGATCAGACTAATTGCGCGTGAGTGAAATACCGTTGGATAGTTGGACCAAGTAAGTGTATTTAGTTAATGGAAAATTAAAAGGCACCATTTCAGATGCTTAGCTCTTAGTTTCGTGTCAAACTGATATGTCAATAAATACCTTAGAATAAACCCTCCAATGGCCGTTCACGAGTATATACATATAAACCAACCGTCGTTCTTATAAACACAGTGATTGAATATTCTGACGAGATCAAATAACTTGAAACTATATCCTTGTAACGAAGCTTAAATTGGCCTGTAGGAGAACTCAAATCGGGTTTTGCTGCAAACAGCAAATCATAATCCTAGAACGGGTTAGATTAGGTAAGCTTACGTGGCATTGCAGATACCATTAAGGTCCATAGCGTTAACCGATAACCTACGAACACATTAGTCTGCAAATCACTGAGTACCAGAAGTAATGTTGAAACACTTTTCAGCCCTCTGGTCAAACTGAACCAACTTAGCTTACTTTGGCGGAAGCTTCCAGACTAGGCGTAAATCTTAACATTAACCAGAGCCAGTCTGAAGGCGTGCGATGCCAGCAGGCAGTGTCCCGTTGGAACACCCACCGGTAGCCTCGCATCCTTCCTCTTGAGAAATAGGACAAACTTCGAGAGATTTATAGCATACGCTCTGCAAATAATACTGGACACCTGCAAACCTTGCGTTTTGGTCGCAACCTTCTGCGGCTTCCGCATCATGGACAGTCGAGTTCCGTTTAATCGGCGGGAGAGAAAGCGGCACTTTCTCTATCAGAATAGTTTCCGACAGACCGTGATGCCGGTATGCCCCGCAACCCAGGGCAGATTAACGTCA